TCATTAAATCACCAAAAGCAAATGAGTATAGTTATTATAACTGGCAGCAGAGGCAAAGCAAGGCTTACAATGGCCTAACCTGTATGGACCTTTGGTACGGGCAAGACGCCTCAGGGTGTTTTGTTTGTTTTGTTTTTATCTACTTAAGCAGAAAAACTCAAGAACCAAAGAAAGGAAGGCTGCATTGTAGCATAGCAGTAGGGAATCTGGTCACCAACCAATTTTCAGACTCATCCAGTGTATAGATCCAGAACTCCTTGAGAAAGGAACTAGACCCATTTATAACTAGGACTTATACAATTTTTGAAACTTTTAAAGACTGCAGGACTCTTCTGTTTATTTATTTAAGCCACCTCCTCCCACAGCAAAAGGATAGAAGGTTATGGTATAATGGTCACTATCTGGTAGAAGGAGAGATGAGCTTGGCGTCTTGCATGCTTTTGTGGTCCACATGCAGAGTAATGGCTAAACCAGGCTGTGGCCTCTTGCTGCCTGGGTGAGGGTCCAGATTCTTTTTACTCACCTTCAGAGCCAGTGGAAATGGATTAACATAAGAGTTATGGAGGTGGGTATGGCTACTACTGCCCCAGGGGAAGGCTTGGTCCTGATCCAGAGGTGGGGTGGGCAGCTAACATGGGTTTCTAGAGCTCTTCACGATCCAGGGAAACGCTTAGCATCCTAACTCCCATCCCCGGCAGTGCTATGAAGGAGGTGAGGGCCTTCCACATTTAAGCTGAGCTCTCTTTGCAGGAGGCACCACTTGACATGGGCTGTCCCTCCCCTTGGCAGGTCTGGCCTAGCAGCAGAGACACCAGGATGCCACACTGCTACAGATGACACCATCTTGTATCTGCTGACTGTGGGACTTTTAAAGTTATACTTTGGGGGCTCTGCAGTTAAGGGCACTGGTTGCTCTTTCAGAGTATTCAGATTTGATTCCTAGAACCCACATGGCAGCTTATAAGTATTTGAAATGACAGTTCCAGAGAATCCAAGGCCCTCTTCTGGCTACCATAGGCACCAGGCACATACATGACACACAAACATACAAGCAGGCAAAACACCCATACACATAAAAGTTATACTATGCTCTATATTGTGATATTCATAGTAACACAGTAGGCTGGAGAGATGGCTCAGAGATTAAGAGCATTGCCTGCTCTTCCAGAGGTTCTGAGTTCACTTCCCAGTACCTATATGGTGGCTCATAACCACCTACAATGAGATCTGATGCCCCCTTCTGGTGTGCAGGCAAACGTTCAGACAGAACATTATATACATAATAAATAAATAAATCTTTTTTTTTTAATTTCCTTTTTTTATATTTATTTATTACGTACACAATATTCTATCTGTATGCCTGAAGGCCAGAAGAGGGCGCCAGACCTCTTTACAGATGGTTGTGAGCCACCATGTGGTTGCTGGGAATTGAACTCAGGACCTTTGGAAGAGCAGGCAATGCTCTTAACCACTGAGCCATCTCTCCAGCCCCCTAAATAAATAAATCTTAAAGAAAAAAAGTAACAGCATCTTGGGAACAAAGAAGGAAGGGAAGTTTACGGTTTAATAGTGATGTGTTTGTGTCATGCTGATAAGAGGCCATAGTCTTAGTTTTTGGTCAAATTGACACTAGCTAAAGTCATCTGGGGAGAGGGAATCCCAATTAAGAAAATTCCTCTATATGACGGAGGATGGGGCATTTTCTTGATCAATGGTGTGGAAGCGCCGAGCACACTGTGGGTAGCACCACCCCTGGACAGATGGTCTTGAGGGATACAAGACAGCACACTGAGCAAGCCAGTAGGCAGCACTCTTCCATGGCCTCTACTTCAGCTCCTGCTGACTTTCCCTCCACAACGGACTATAAGCTGCAAGATGAAATGAATCCTTTCCTCCTAAGTTGCTGTTGGTCACGGTGTTTATCACAGCACTAGAAAGCAAAATAGGACACATGGGATCTCTATTACTTCTTACAACTGCATGAGTACCTACAGTTACCACAAAATAATACACTAAATTTAAAAAACAACTGTGGTTGTTTGAAAGAAAACGCCCCTCAAAGGGAGTGGCACTTTTAGGAGGTCTGGCCTTGTTGGAGGAAGTGAGTCACTGTGGAGGTAGGCTTTGAGGTTTCTATATGCTCAAGATACCCCAGTGTCTCAGTCTACTTCCTGTTGTCTGCATATCAAGATGTGGCCAGCTCCATGTCTGTCTGCATGCCACCATGCATGACATGATGATAATGGACCGAACCTCAGAAAACGTAAGCCACCTTAACTGTTTTCCTTTATAAGAGTTGCCATGGTCGTGGTGTCTCTTTACAGCAATAGGAACCCTAACTAAGAAAGAAGTTGGCACAAGGAGTAAGATATTGCTATGATCGGCCTGACCATGTTTCTGTGACCATGTTTCTGTTTGGAGGAATTTGGACTTCAGTTCAGTTCAGTTAGGAAAGCAATGGAATGCTTTAAGCACTGCTTATGGACCATACCAGTAGGGGCATGGAAGACAGTGGTGCTAAGAGCTATTTGAATTGTGAGGGGCTGGCTCAAGATGTTTCAGAGGAGAAGAATTTTAGTATGTTGCCTAGAGATCATTCTTGTGATATTTTGGTGATATTTGGCTGCTTTTTACCCTTGCCTAAAAAGTTTGCCTGAGACTAAAGTGAAGGGTTTTGGATTAATTCCTTTGGCAGATCTCAAATCTCAAAACAGCCTAGTATAGACTCTATTATGTGGTTATTAGTGGTAACTTTAATGAAGATTTATAATGAAAAGGAGCAAACTGAGCAGGGATAATTACAAAATATAAAATTTAAGGAACCACAAAAGTAGGATGGAACTAAGTCCTATGTTCAAGGAGACAGAGTAAGAAATGGAATTAAGGAAGTGGTGACTTCAGGACAAATCCTTCCTAGCCAAGTTTCCAACTTGTGTAAAGGAACTAAAGAAAAGCTTAGAACCGTTAGTCCTAACACTTGAAAGGAGGAGGCTTGTGGATCTCTGAGTTTGAGGCCAGCTTAGTCTAAAAAGCAAATTCCAGAATAGCCAAGCTTAGGCAGCAAAGGACAGAAAGTTGGTGAAGACATAATTGAACGAGAAGCTATGTTCCAGCCCCAATGAGCAGCAGAACTTGGCAGCTTTGGCCACCTAGTCTGGCTCAGAGTCCAAGACAGAAGAAAGGCATTAGTGCACCTTCCTCTGAGAAAAGGAAAGCTGCTGAGGCCAGGCATATGTTAGGGGTGTCCTGAATGGAGGCCTAGAGAGGCCACTGCGTGAAGCTGCAGAAAGTTGAAAGCAGTTAAGAGAGCTGAAGAGCGCTCTGACATCAGACACGGAGATGCAGAGTTTAGCGCTTGCCCAGCGGGTGTTTGGTCTTGCTTTAGTCCAGTATTTCCTCACTATGCTCCCCTCCCTACATTTTGGAATGGTAATGTATATCCTGTGCCATTACATATTGGAAGTATGTGATCTGTTTTTTTATTTTGATTTTACAGGTGATTACAGTTAAGAGATGGCATGAATCTCAGAAGAGACTTTGAACTTTAGACTTTTAAGTAAGTTTAGGAGTGATAGACTATGGGGTCTTTTGAAGTTGAACAGAATGCATTTTTGCAACATGATATGGGTACAAGCCTTTGGGGGCTAGGGAGTGGACTGTGGTGGTTTGAAAGAAAATGGCCCTCTCTGAGGCTCGCGTTGGTGGTACATGCCTTTAATCCCAGCACTCAGGAGGCAGAGGCAGGCAGATCTCTGTGAGTTCGAGGCCAGCCTAGTCTACAAGAGCTAGTTCCGGGAAGGCACCAAAGCTGCAGAGAAACTTTGTCTCAAAAGAAAAAAGAATTGGCTCTCAGATGGAGTGGCACTTTTAGGAGGTATGGCCTTGTTGGAATAGGTGTGGTCTTGTTGGAGGAAGTGTGTTACTGTGGAGGTGAGATTTGAAGTTTCATATATGCATGTATGGTCAACATACCACCCAGTGTCTCAGTCTACTTTCTGTTACCCGTATATCAAGATGTAGCCAGCACCATGTCTGCCTGCAAGCCGCCACGCCCCTGGCCATGATGACAGTGAACTAAACCTCTGAAAATGTAACGAGCCCCCTCAATGAAATGCTTTCCTTTATAAGGGTCACCATGGTCATGGTGTCTCTTTACAGCAATAGAAACCCTAAGTAAGACACCAACTATCCATGCTCTTCATCTGTGATGGAATAAACAGGGAACACGGTTTCTTCCCCACCAATGAAACAAAACATCTAGTACTGCTCATGAGACAAACCATTCAAGCCTAATAAAAAGCTAATGCTTCATTAAGTTGAACATCTGGTGACTTTTCTCATATACACTATTACCTGCTCAATGGCACTAGTAAACAGAATAGTGTCTGAGGTCTGATGAGGTTTCCCTGAGCCAGAGCCACCTATTAGCTGGAACCAACAAGTCCTCCCAGCGATAGTTTTATCATTCTGTTATGGTCCTGTTAAGCTGTTCTAAGCCGAAGAACAAAGAACCACCATCAAGCAGAGAACGGGAATTACATCGGTATGGTGACAAAGAATCACACATTTTAACAGAGTTATAAGAGTCTTAGGTGATTATATTGCTTTCATTTTTACAGTAGAGGAAACAATAAAGTGACCTGCTCCATGAATGGCTTTTCTAAGACATGGACATTTAAAACTGTGTCTTGGTCCAGTGACAGGGTTGGGCTGGAGAGAAAGCTCCGCGGTTAAAACTGCTAACTGGTCTTGACCAAGGACCTAGGGTTGGTTCCCAGCGCCCACATGGTGGCTCAGTCATCCAAAACTTCCAGTTCCAGGGTATCCTTTATTCTCTTTTCTCGTCTCTGCGGGTTCCTGTGCACATGTGTTGCACATAAACACACACACACACACACACACACAGTCACAAATAAGTCAGCCTTTTTTTTTTTTAAGGCACCATATGATGCCGAGCTGTCTACTTTCACCCAGCACCTAGCTCAGCGCCCGATATTTACAAGCTGAGTCAGTAGTCGAATGAACGACACCATCAGGAGCCCCACGAAGGGTCCAGAAGCCTCCGGCCCGGTGGTGACAAACACAGACAGGAGGTGGTTCAGCTGCCAGTCCCTGGCTCCCAAGCCAGGGCGTCGCCAACCGACCAGGGGCATGGCCGAAGGACAGGCAGCGGCAACCAGAGGTCACCTCGCCATGCAAGGCCGCCAGAGCGCAGGCGTCCAAGGCCCGACGAGGCCCGGGAGAGCCGAACCGCCACCCGATCCCCGCCAGCACCCTCGCTTTTCTACTCACGACGCGCGGCGTCCCAGCGTCTGGCCGGCCCTTCGCCCTCTGTGTTTTCCCCTCTGCCGCGCTCGCCCATTGGCCAGCGTAGGCCACGCCCACGGAAGGCAAAAGCGTGCATTTCATTGGCCCTCGCTTGGGGGCGGGGCTGGAGAGCGGGGCGCTTTACCCGTAGAGTCGTTCAGGCTGCTGCTGCTGGGGTTGAGGAAGGAAAGGTGGCATAGGCGATGTGGCCGACCCTGCGTTACTTAGGCACTGCCTGCGGTCTGGCTCGATGTCGCTTTGCTGGAGGTTTCCTCCCGGCAAGCGAGCGGACGACTGGGGGGCCGGGGCTGCTGTGCTGGGGTGACCGCAGCTTCAGCACTAGGTAAGTGAGTGGCGGTGGCCTGCGTTTGCAGCTCCCTTCTGAGAAGTCTCGAATTGGATCCGATTCGACGTCTCTGTCCCTGGAGATGAAGTTCTGATATTGTGGTCCGGCCTTGGACTCCAGGAGCTGCTGAACCTGCGGGGTTCATCCGCAGCATTTGTGAGCGGGAGGGGGTGCAGTGTTGATTGGAGGCTCAGGGGCGAATTTGTCTCCGAACACAACCCTCCTCTCCGTTTCTTAACCACTTTAAAGGCTGAATGGTGAATAGGATCCTAGTCTGGCCCCTAGATGGTATTTTGAGGATTAGGGAACCTAGTACACTCTATATAAGTACGCTGATTCTTAGTTAGCTAGCATTCCCTGTGTTGCATGGAAGATCCAGAACTAGGCTTCATTCAGTAAGTCAGTTCCTTGCACACATTAGACTTGTAACTGAGAAGCAACTCAGTTGCCTACCGTAAGCTGTCTAGGAAAGCCGGCAAATGCAGTGTTCTTTGCGAAAGCTTTAAGGGGGAAGGCTTTCGGTTTTTTGAGACAGGAAGGTGAGCCAGCCGTGTGAATATGATTTTAGTGGACGACAAAAGTGTGGAAAGACACTTGAGAGGGACAGTGTCACAGCAGTGCTTTTGTTTAAGCCACACATTAAATTTTAGTCGAAGGACCACAGAAGCTGTTAAATGGTGTCGAAGCAAGGTTTCCCTAGGTAGCCCTGGCTGTCCTGTAACTCCCAATGTAGATCAGGCTGGCCTCCAGCTCTCAGAGATCAGCTTGCCCTTGCCTTCCAAGTGCTGGGATTAAAGGTGTGTGCCACCACACCTGCTCTACCTTTTGAGACAGGATCTCTCATGGAGATTGGCGGGCCAGTAAGCTCCAGGGATCCACGTGCCTCCGTACCCTACCTACCCCAAGGATGGGTGGAGCCAAGCTTTTACATAAAGGTGCTTGGGTCCTCATGTGCACAGCAAGCCTTTTACCAATTAACCATTTCCCTAGCCTCTCCCCCACCCCCAATTTTATACTTTTTATTTTGGAGCAATTGTAGATCCATAGGAAGTTGCAAAATTCACAGAATGGTTTTATGTCGCCTTCTCCATTTCCCACCATTCTTCCAGTGTTAGTATAGTACAACAGCAAAGCCAGAAAATTAATATTGATACAATGCAGCTTTTATCAGTTTTACGTGCACTTTGTGTTCTGTGTGGAGCTCTATGAAGTTTAATCAGACATTGTATAATCCCCTCAATTTGGGCATCGAAATATTCCATTGTGGACACGGGCACAGGTGCCCACCAAGATGGCAGAGCCCAGTTGTCAGGCTCTGAGGCTAGATGAAACCCTAACGGCTCTCCACACTTCGGTCAGGCATTGAGCTACAGTGCCTGCCCAGGGAGCAAAATGAATGACAGTGTCTTTCAAGTGCTGGCCTCTGTGATGGGCAACGGTGCCACCAATAAGAAGTGAGTGCCAGTCAAGTGTGGACAGCAAGGGGTCAGCCAGATCAGCGTCTATTGCAAGAATGCCAATGATACCCTAGAGTGGGGTCAAGCTACACAGCCGGCTGGTTGTGATTGATCGGTCTTCTAAAGCTGAACTCATCTTCTGCTAGTGGTCAGATGTTTGTGCTTCGCCTTAAGGAGGGATATGACTTCAACTCTGCAAATAAACAAAAGGTAGCTACATTTTCCAGTGCAGGGCTGTTTGGCCCTGGACATCATGAACTCCCAAGAAGGCTCTTTTATCTAGCGTCGGGTGCAGAATGACTCTTCCCTGAGGAAATGGACCTGCTTTGGAGACAAGTGAAGAAACACCGGCAATGCTATTGTCAGGTAACTCTACCAGAGAACACACATGGACACTCTTAACGCTGAGTAGAAAGTCTGTATTGCCGTAGCCAATGGCCGCACAGGGAACCTGCCCAAGTCATGCAGCCCCAAACCTCTCTGCTCTTTGACTTTTATGTCCAAAACACATCCTGGTTGACACCCTTTGATGAGGAGGAACAGTTAATGAAAGTGAAACTACAGAAGCCAAAAAGCAAGGTTAGTGCATTTAGGAACTTTCCTGGATGTTGGAATTGTGGACTAGGTCTTGGATGGACTAGATCTTCATTCCTGTACTGGCAGGTTTTGAGGCCTACATGCTGGGTTCTAAGGTCAGAATGGTACTTCCAACATGGCGTCAGTTGTGCTAACGTCTGGCAGCCTGTTACATCTCTGGAGAGAAGAACCTTGTCCACAGCCTATCCTCCCATGGGGCACCCATCATTTGTCTCATGTAGTGGGCCCCTATCCTCATTGCCCCTTGTTCCACTTATACCCACAGGCCTCCTAACCTCCCTCCCTGCTCCCCAGGAGCTCATGATAAATGATAAATGCGCCATCATTGTTGGAGCTAAGCTGAGGAAGGTGCAATGCACAGAAAATTCATTCAAAGACTCTAGTCCCAGCAGAACCTCAACATCTGATTCTGTCTGGGAGGGCAAAGAGCAACAAGCCTGGCCAAGGAGCTGAATTAACTTCGGGTCAAAAGAATGCAGCTTGGGCTGGAGAGATGGCTCAGAGGTTAAGAGCATTGCCTGCTCTTCCAAAGGTCCTGAGTTCAATTCCCAGCAACCACATGGTGGCTCATAACCATCTGTAATGGGGTCTGGTGCCCTCTTCTGGCCTGCAGGCATACACACAGAATATTGTATACATAATAAATAATAAATAAATATTAAAAAAAAAAAGAATGCAGCTTGCAGCTTCCCAGACAGATGAGCCACTGACAGAAAAGACAAGCTGAAAGGAGAATCCTAACATCTCCAGCACCGCTAAGGATCTGAACCCCCAGCGGCCACGCAGCTCCTGAGATGTCTGTGGTGACAAGCCCGAAATTAAGAGCCACTGTCAGTGGCATCTCACTCTAAAGATAGTGTGAACGGCACGTGTGTGGACGCCCGTGAAACAGGGGCCCTTAGAAGGTTGTCTTGAGAGAGGTGAAGAACATTGACTCCATCGTGTGGGCCCCAAGTGGGATCAGCATCACCTACAGTGGGCCATTAGAGAAGAGGAGGGACTAGAGGACCCAGCCTGTGAAGACTGGGATGTACGTGTCTCAACCTACGACACAACATTTAAATGGGAAATCAAGTTCGACTCCTGGATTCTTTTCTATCTGATTCAGAATATCAGGGCTATTCTTTTTTTGTATGTTTTATATTTGATTAAGTGAACATTTCTCTGGTGTATGGAGAACATTCCCAAATTATCTTCTTTGTTAGATGGCTTTCAAGTTTTCTCGCCGGTGAGCAGCAGGGTCTGGTCTAGTCTTGCCATGCTTTTGGAGTCATGGTAACTGTGGTGTTAACAGTATGTACATACAGTGTGTGTGTGTATTCTGACCGCACAACCAACGGTTCATTGTTGATAAGTAACTAAGATGCTCCGTCACCACAAGATTTGTTCTCTCCCCCTCTCTAGTCACCACATCCTATCTCTCCATTCTTCCTAACTCCTGGCCGTTACTCTATTCTCCATCAGAAAACTTTGTCATTTTGAGAATCTTATGTAAGTGAACCCTTAACACTGATTTTATCATACAATGTGATACATACGTATATATATATATATATTCTTATTATCTCTTATATACATGGTATATTATACATTATACATAATATAAGCAACATATGATATGTAATGTGATAGTTGTTATATAATATATAAATAACATATATGTTATTATAAATTTTTACTTTAATTTCTCACTAATGAAAATTATGGCCGGGCGGTGGTGGCGCACGCCTTTAATCCCAGCACTCGGGAGGCAGAGGCAGGCGGATCTCTGTGAGTTCGAGACCAGCCTGGTCTACAAGAGCTAGTTCCAGGACAGGCTCCAAAGCCACAGAGAAACCCTGTCTCAAAAAACCAAAAAAAAAAAAAAAAAAAGAAAAGAAAATTATGCAAGTGAAGTTTGGTGAGGTCTGTAAACATAAATTCTTTAATCTTGCTTTCTCTTAAGTTCATTTGATATAGTCATTGTCGGTGGCGGAATTGTGGGGCTTGCCTCTGCCAGAACACTCATCCTGAAACACCCCGGACTTTCGATTGGTGTTGTGGAAAAGGAGAAAGATTTAGGTCTGTATCCCATCAGCTTGCTGGGAACCTGCTCATTTTTTTCAGGCTGAATTAGTAATGAAAAATGTTGATGTTTGTGTCTTGTTTTGGATTCTCTCGAAAGTCTTGCATGGTAGTGGTTGGTTTGAGGGTTTGTGAGGTGGTAGGAAGAAGAGATGGGGTGGGGGAGACTAAAAATCACAAAGGACACACTCTACGTGTGCTGCTGAAAGTTGAGTACACTGGTACCCGGGGAGCAGCATTTGTGCCTCTCAGGTTTGTGCCCATTCTCCATCGGCTTTTAGGAATGTCCCTATTAACACTAATAATTCCACTTTCCTCCAGAAAGACAAGAAGTCCTGGGAGCATGTACAGAGTCTTAGGGGGCCTTTAAAGTGCTGTTTAAACAAAGCGTAAGTCAAAGTCAGAAATGGGCAGGAATGGTTTAGCATTGATGCTAAGGATAGCTGCTATAGAAAGTTGCCAACAAACAGAACAAACAAATCTAGGCATTTTTAAATGATGTCGCCTCTGCTATCAACATGTAGAATTGTTCACTTCTTAGATTTTTTGTGAGTCATTTATTTTTCTTGACCCTGTCTCTCTTGTTTTATAGCCCTTCACCAGACTGGACGGAACAGTGGGGTCATACATAGTGGAATTTACTACAAACCTGAATCCCTGAAAGCTAAACTGTGTGTAGAAGGTGCAGCCCTCATCTATGAGTACTGTAAGCTCAAGGGAATTCCCTACAGGCAATGTGGCAAGGTACAGCATTTCACTCGGGCGTGGCTTGTTTGTAACTAATGTTTCCTTGGGTTTAATGTTGAAAAGTTTGTATACAGTTTAGTTTTTAGTGTATTTGCAGAGTCATGCCACTATCAATACTAATTTTAGAATATTTTTATTACTCTCACACTAAACCATATGCCAGCTCTCCTGAGTGCCTAACAAACAACAAACTACTTTGTTTTCTGTCTCTATACAGTTGCTTGCTTTATACTATGCTATCTTTTTTGTTGTTGTTTTGTTTTGTTTTTCAAGACAGGGTTTTCAAGTAACTGCTCAGGCTATCCTGAAACTTGCTTTGTAAACCAGGCTGGCCTTGAACTCACAGAGATCCACCTGCCTCTACCTCCGCCTCCTGAGTGCTGGGATTAAAGGCGTGCACCACCATTGCCCAGCACTGTGTATCTTTTTTGTTTGTTTGTTTTTTACAGGGCTTCCTCGAGTAGCCTTGGCTGTCCTGGTAAACCAGGCTTGACCTTGAACTCACAGAGATCCACCTGCCTCTGACTACTGAGTGGTGGGATTAAAGGTGTGTGCCACTACTACCCAGTTTATACATATCTTATAAATAGAATTATGTCACATAGACTATGTGATATTCTGTGACATTTAAAAAGATATACACTTACCATAATGCTTTCAGAGGTTATCCATGTTATAGCATTAATTAGTACTTCATCCTTTTTTATGCTGTCTCCATTATTTTGTTTGGGTGCTTATTAGTGATATGCATTTGAGTTGTTTCTGCTTTTTTGTTATGAATAACACAGTTATAGGTATTTATATATAACTTTTATGGAAACCCATTCTCATTTCTCAGTGGAATATTTCTAGAAATAGAATTTCTGGTAGGAACTCCATCTTTAATATTTGAAGGAACTGCCAAGCTCTATTCCAGATGTTATGGTTGGTTGCATTTTTGATGGGGAACCTCTGTCAGCCAATGACCTTTAAGAGGTTGGACCAGGTTAGGGTGTGACCTAAGTTTGACCTCAGGGTTGGGGACACCATCTAGGGGTTGAATATTACTTGTATAGGGTAGAGGGTTGGGGTGGAAATTATGTAGGCCCAGAGATCTCCTTGGAAAAAAAGAGGGAAAATTAAATGGAATAACAGATAATTTAGTGTGAACTTACTTACACTAATAATAATAATAGAGAGTAATAGAGTGAATACTTATGAGCTATTATTTATGGACAATTTACATTGGTATAGTTTCTTGTATATTGATACAAGTTCAAATTATATTTGTTATTTCTGTTTACAATATTTGTATACCTATGCAAAGTTATTTTGTCAGATTGTATTTGTGCTGTTTTTACCTCTGTTTAAGACATTTTGTATATTGATACAATTTTAGGATCTATTTATCATATTGCATTTTATATTCCTACCTCTGATCAAGATGCTTATACATTGTTTACATTTTGAGGTCATTGTCCTCATTTACTGCACAGTTGTTTACAGATTATTTAATATTCTGATATAAAGTCTTAGTCTTTAAGTTATATAAGTATTAAGTATTATAGGTCAATAGTTATTCATGTTTGTTGTACATTTAGTCAGATTATTAGGTTGTTTAGATACATAGAGATTGTATTATGCATAGGTAGGTAATCTTCAACCACTTCAAAGATCTGTAGAACATGGCATTTAAAGAACTTAGGGTTCTGTAGATGTGAGACACAATTGCTCCTGACAGCACCCATCTATTCCTGAGAGAATCTTGAGCACTGAAGACACTCCATTTGGAGTTTGTTTTCTTCTTGGCACAATTGGCCTTTGGGCAAGGAACTGCCCATGCCTCGACCACTGACAAAGTACATGGTGTCCAGACTGGATAAGCAGGACACAAGAAAAAAAGACTGCCAAACCTTGCATATAGCCCTTTTTATATGTTGCTGTATTTAGTTTTATTGTTTTGCCTAAGAATGTTACATCTGTATTTACAAATGTGGGCTGAGGGCACAGCTCAGTGGTGTATGGGAGTATACTGACCTCATGAGAATAGTTTTACAAATGTTTCTTTTTCTTTCTTTTTTGAAAGCGTTTATTGGATTTGATTCTTTCTTAAACACTTGGTAACCTTCATGAGTTAAGTCTTTGCTGCCTGGCCTTCCATCGAGGGAAGTTGTTTTTGCTTTTAGTTTCTTGTTTGTTTGTTTGTTAGTTGGTTGATTGTTTTTTCTAGACGGGTCCATCTATGTAGCCCTGGCTTTCCTGGAACTCAATGTGTAGACCAGGCTGGCCTTGAACTCATAGAGATCCTCCTGCCTCTGTTTCCCAAGTGCTGGGATTAGTGTGCACCAACACTGGTGGCCTGGCCTTTTTTGCAAGTTTTTATTCACTTTTCTTGCCGTGGTTCGGTTCAGGTTTGTTGTTGCTGCTGTTGTTGCTGTTGTTGTTGCTGTTGTGAGTCGTTTTCAGAAGTGTCTTCCTAACAGTTTCAGCGTCTGAATGGCGTGCTTTCTGTGGCAGGATTAGTTGTTCATACCACCCTTGTGAGGCTTATTTCCATAAGGTTGGTGTGGGGTCCTCTCTCCCTCCTCCACATTTGTAAGTCTGAAAGCTCATTATTGTCATTGAAGATGCGTTACACTGAAAAGAAAAGATGCAGGGTTGGGGATTCAGCTCAGTGGTAGAGCTCTTGCCTAGCAAGTGCAAGGCCCTGGGTTCGGTCCTCAGCTCTGGGAACACCAGAGTAATATGAGAAAATGCCTTGGCAGATGTTAAGTGAAAAAAAGGAAGTAGGCTGGGTTGTAAGAGGTCAAGACGGCAACCCTTTATCCACTTTAAGATTTACAAATACTCTTATTCTGTGATTTGTCTTTTTGCTTTCTTTTTTTTTAATATTTATTTATTTATTTATTTATTTATTTATTATGTATACAATATTCTGTTTGTATGCCTGAAGGCCAGAAGAGGGCGCCAGACCTCCTTACAGGTGGTTGTGAGCCACCATGTGGTTGCTGGGAATTGAACTCAGGACCTTTGGAAGAGCAGGCAATGCTCTTAACCACTGAGCCATCTCTCCAGCCCCTCTTTTTGCTTTCTTGATGGTATCCTTTGACTAATTTTTTATTAAAAAGTTAATTATTTATTGACTTAAGCAGCCTTTGTACCTTGACCAAAAGGGAATTCTGTTGGTTCTTAGTTATGAGGTAGTGACTTATGCGTGTTAATATGCCCTTGAATGTGTGTCAGTGAAATAAAAAGAAACTCAATTTCAAATACCTTTCCCAGAAATATATAGGAGAAGAGTTCTGAAGAAAGTTGACTGAATGCAATTCTCTCTGCATTAGTAAAGACTGTAATTTATTTCAAGACAACAAAAGACTAGCTTGTTGAGAGTGGTGCCCGTTATACTGATGACTGTCTTTTATGAGCTAGCATTTCACATTGACTTGTGGAAATAAGAAGGGTATTTACTTTGAAAGATGTAAAGGGGGCTAGAGACATGGCTCAGCAGCTGAGAGCACTGGCTGCTCTTGCAGAGGTCCCAGGTTCAATTCCCAGGACCCTCTGTGCCTTCTGTGGACACTGCACACACATGCAGGCAAAATACCCATACACATAAAATGAATCTTAAAAAGCAACAAAAGAAAGCATGAACATGTGCTTCTCTTATTGCTGGGATCGAGTTGTATATGGCTGGGATCATACTGCAGCTCTCATCGAGAAATGGAAATTGAGGCTGCATTTCACAGTTGGGGACATTAGTTTTAATGCTATTTTTTATGACATTTTCTTGACGAAGGAAAGAAATAATGAACAAAAGAAGGAGGTTTATGAAAGAAAAATACTTTAGATCAACCTTGTTTGGTACAGGTGATAATTTGTGATTTTTACATTGACTTTATATATATTTCATAACTGATGATATTTTAACCATTCATGCATTTTGCCATTTTCTGAAGCTAATAGTAGCTGTTGAGCAAGAAGAAATCCCCAGACTTCGGGCCCTGTATGAGAGAGGTCTGCAGAATGGAGTCCAAGGCTTGAGACTGATCCAACAGGAGGACATAAAAAAGAAGGAACCATATTGCAGGGTGAGTGGCTGACCAGCCTAGTGCACGTGGTGGTTCCCATAAGCTATTCCACATAATACTGCCGTGAATAAACATTCTGGAATATGTGTTTTGGTAAGAAATGTTAACACTGCTATTGGGTCTCTACATCAGAGAGATATTGTCAGGTTGTAGTTTATGTGTTTATGTCCAGCTTTGGCAAATATTGCCAAAAGTTTTCCACGGTGCCTTGGTTTATCCTCTCAGTCACACAGAGTCCAGTTGTTCTGTGTCCGCAGACACATGGGCTTTGTTCCACTGAAGCGTTTGTGAGTATGTGGTACAATCTGAATCTGTCTTACTGAAAATTCATAGGCTAGAAATCCTTCAGATTTGTGGATGTTTCCATAGGCTAAACCAGTTGAACATGCCTAATCCAAAACTTCAGAAAAATCATGTTCCCAAACTCAAGTATTTTTGAGCATCTTGTTGGTATTATAAAGCTCTGCATGTTTTTAGTTTAGATTCTCAAACTGTAACATTACATTATGCTTTTAACTTATAATTCCCCAATGACTCAGTGTCACACACCTTCCTGTGTTTATTCCCAGCTTGGAAACCTTTCTCCTGAAGCTCCTATTTGAGCGGTTTGACCATAATCTATTGGGTTTATTGCTTCTTTTTTTTGTTTGTTTTGTTTTGTTTTGTTTTGTTTTTCGAGACAGGGTTTCTCTGTGGTTTTGGAGCCTGTCCTGGATCTAGCTCTTGTAGACCAGGCTGGTCTCGAACTCACAGAGATCCGCCTGCCTCTGCCTCCCGAGTGCTGGGATTAAAGGCGTGCGCCACCACAGCCCGGCTTATTGCTTCTTTTATAATTATTAATTCTTACTAACTTTAGAAGTTCACTACATGATCTGTATGTATCTGCTGCATATATAAATATACACTTATGTACTTGTCAGTATATCTAAGTATGTGCTACAGGCGTCTCCGCCTCTCTGTAACGTGTCCCTTTTGTTTTAGTTCATCTTCAGATGAACAGCAGTTCTTAATGTAATCAATTTAGCAATTTATGTGGATGTTTTCCTTTTATTTTTTTCTTCTTTTTCTTTTATTTTTTCAAAAAGAAAACATGCTGTCTTTTTTTCATTTTACATACCAATCCCAGTTCCCACTCCCTCCCCTTCTCCCATTCCTTCCACCCACCTCCCATCCCACCCCATCCACTCCTCAGAGAGGGTAAGGCACATTGCTTGGGGAAGGTCTAAGGCCCTCCCTACTATATCTAGGATGAGCAAGGTATCCTTCTAAAGAGAATGGGTTCCCCAAAAGCCAGTACAAGCAGTAGGGATAAATCCTGGTGCCACTGCCAGTGGCCCCACAGTCTGCCCCAGCCATACAACTATCACCCACATTCAGAGGGTCTAGTTTGGTTCTATGTTGGTTCCTTCCCTGTCTGACTCGAATTGGTGAATTCCCATTAGCTCAGGTAAACTGTTTCAGTGGGTGTCCACATCATGGTCTTGACCTCTTTGCTCATATTCTCACTCTTTCCATTCTTCAACTAGACTTTGGGAGCTCAGCCCAGTGCTCCGCTGCAGGTCTCTGCCTCTGTCTCCATCAGTTGCTGGATGAAGGTTCTATGGTGACATTTAAGATATTCATCAATCTGACTACAGGGCAAGGCCAGTTTGGGCACCCTTGCCTAGGGTCTTAGCTGGGGTCATCCTAGTGGATTCCTGGGAATTTCTCTAGTGTCGGGTTTCTTGCTAGCTCCATGTTTTCCTTTTATAATTAGTGCCTTCCTGTGCATCTGTCTACTCTTCCTCCTGACTCCCTTGCTCCCGTACACAGAGCACATGGGTAGTTTTAGTTTCTTTCCTGCTAGTTCAGATAATGGTACTTTGTCACACTGGCTACAACTGATTGGTTTGCAAGTTTGGCTGTTATTTCTGCTTCTTGGTAAACAATTTAACTACAAATGGGTTTATTAGGTCAACTCCAAAGCACTGCTTGCTCCAGATCCTTTTAAGAAGGCTGAGCCACCCCAGCTCTTTGAAGCTCCCTGCACTTTGAAGTGGGGAGCAGCTCTTGCTGGTGCCCTCTGATTAATCCCCAGTGACACTCCTGACTTCGGTCCGACCCTTGTGGCTTCTCTTTCGGCAGAGGAGGTCAACCCCACGTTTTCCTCCTTTGTTTTCTTACTGAGTTTAGCTCCCAGCTTTCCCTGACCTACCTGCCTGGTTCTTTTCCAGCCTCTCGACCTGCCATTACCTTGTTTTCCAAGCTATGACCTGCTAATCTAGATAGTGCATGGCCAGTCTGCTGGTCGAGAGGCACAGCCAGCCTGTCCACAGCCTCATCTCAGCCAACCATGTTAGCACCAGGCCTGGACCTGGGAGCTGGACGACTTGACGATGATGGCATCTTCCACATCCTCTGCACACATTCAGTTAGGGACACCCACACTTCCTAAGAAGGAGCAAATCCAAGACTAGAAAGAGAAAAAGAGACTCTCTAGAGTTCTGAAAGGTGAAAGTGGAGTAATTTAAAAACATGCTTCAAATGTTTATTCACTCAGGAAATATTTGAGGGATTTGTGTGCAGGCACCAGGAGTACAAAGTGAATAAGGAGGACATTTGGATTCTAAAAAAAAAAAAAAAAAAAAAGAGCATTTCCTGCTCTTCCAGAGGTCCTGAGTTCAATTCCCAGCAAGCACATGGTGGCTCACAACCATCTGTAATGAGGTCTTGTGCCCTCTTCTAGAGTGCAGGCAGACATGCAGGCAGAACATTATACATAATAGATCTTTTGAAAAAAGAACTATTGATTCAGAACAAAGCATGTTTGCAGAACATTTCTTTCCCGACCCCTGTCACAATTTTTTATGTTAGGTAAGGGAGTTTTGTGGGTTAAACTATTGAAATATTAGGTTGAGTGTAGCTGTTGACTTGTGAATCTCTGAGTTGTTAGGCAGTAAGTCTAACAAAGCCTCACATGTGCCAATCTTATCCGGATAGGAGGGCTTCCTAACCCTAGCAAAGGCTTTCGTGTGCTAGAGTCAAGCCTGGTGAGGTAAATGGTGAGGTTTGCCAAATGTTGCATGTTTTGCCTTGGCCCAACCCCGGGATCTGGCAACATTGTTTGTGGAGGGAGGGGAAATGAAAGCCTTTAAGACAATATACCAGTGAAATATTTAAAATGTTATTTCAGGTATTATTTTTAAAATTAACGACAATACTGTGTTGGCCAAACAGAATGAAAGCAAAACAAAACAAAAAACCAAAACGACTGCTTGCAGGCAGTTCTGGGCAGCAGCGATCTGAGAACCGAGGACAATGACTGGATGACCAAGATGTACATTCAGTGTGAGGGTTGCACACTGTTTTATACTCAGGATTAGTCGTGGGACATCCTGTTCTTTCCCTTTTCTTCAAACTAGAAAAGACCAGTGGCACATTCACCTTCTGTTCCTAAGTAAATAAATAAATTTAAATCTAAATTCATGCATTCAGTGACAGAGAGAAAAACAATTACAAAGCCAGCTAGCTATTCGTTCTCGTATTAACCGAATGAAGCGGAATTGGTCACGGAATGTCCTCATCCCCTGGTTATGATCTCGGAGACCTGCAGCAGATCCTTGCAGTGCCCTGCACATCATGTGACTAGGGAGCTAGAACAGCTCTGAGTTTTCACTCTCTGTGACATGGGCGCCACCGCGAAAGGCATTAGAGTCTGTTCAAAACGTTTTTTTGAGAATTTAACTCAGAATCAGATATGAATCATGTTAGAGTCAGAAATGAAGTGTCCTGAATAACAATAAATCTTTAAAAAAATTAAGATGGCAGCGCGGGGCAGCTTTGAAAGTCAAGCATCTTTGTTGTTGTTTTGGTTTGGTTTTGGTTTTGATTTTTTTCGAAACAGGATTTCTCTGTGTAGCTTTGGAGCCTGTCCTGGAACTCTGTCTGTAGCCCAGGTTGGCCTCAAACTCATAAGAACTGCCTGCCTCTCCCTACTGGGATTAATGGTGTGCGCCACCACCTGGCTCAGGCATCTTTATTTAAGGGGAAAAAAAAATGAAAGAAAATTGTTTCCTGGTTATGTGATGTTCTTATTTAGCTAGCTTTTTGTTTGTTTGTTTGTTTGATTGATTGATTGATTGTTTTGAGACAAGGTTTCTCTGTGTAACAGTGTTGGCTATTCTGGAACTCCCTCTGTAGACCAGGCTGGCCTTGAACTCAGAGACCCGCCTGTCCCTGCCTCCCAAATGTTGGGATTGAAGGCAAGTACCTTCCGGCTTTATTTAGCTAGTATTACGTCTCCCCTCCAGTAGGCACCTTGTGCGTGTGTGTGTGTGTGTGTGTGTGTGTGTGTGTGTGGTGTGTGTGTGTGTTCATCACCAAATTTAGGCACTTACCAAGAGCAGACTTTTCTGTTACTGTTTTAAATGTTGTCAGGTTTTTGTCAAGCAAAGGATAATGTGTGTTACCCATCAAAACAAACCAGGTATTTAAAAAAGGTATAAAATTTCAAGCAAAAATAAAACTGCAGCCAGGTGGTTGTGGTGCACGCCTTTAATCCAAGCACTAAGGCGGCAGAGGCAGGAGGATTTCTGTGAATTCAAGACCAGTTGGACTACAAAAGCAATTACACAGAGAAACCCTGTCTCAGGGGAAAAAAACAAAACAAAACAAAGCAAAAAAAAAAGAAAGAAAAAGAAAAAAAAAACTTTGAATGAACTTTCCTGATTTTTGACTGTATTGTTTGACCTTTTATTACTTTTGTCCTAGGGTCTAATGGCCATTGATTGTCCATATACTGGCATTGTGAACTATCAGCAGGTAGCTTTGTCATTTGCCCAGGATTTCCAAGCTGCTGGTGGCTCTATCTTGAAAGATTTTGAAGTAAAGGATATTGAAATCGCTAATGAAAGCCCTTCCAGAAGTAAGGATGGTAAGCTGTCCCCATCTTCTCTATAAAATATTTGTATTGGTAAAAAAGAGATGTTTATTTGTTTGTTTGTCTGGTTGGTGTTTGCGGGAGACTCCGAGGAGCCAGGCTAGAGTCGGCTCAGTCAGAGGTGAGTATGGATGAGTGGACAGAGCAGACCCGCAGTTCCTGGGTGTCTGTGTGCTGATAGAACTAGGCACTGAGTAGACGTTTGACTGGTACTAAAGTCTAACAGCCACGGCTGTTGTGGACAGGTGGCCTCCAGACGGTTCTCTGAAGGTTAGAGTCGGTACCTCTTAGCAGTGCTTACAGTGAATACAGACCTTGATTCAGACTGCTCGGGAATATCGCATAGCAATAGTAAGTGGTGGGCTATCTTTGGACACACCCAGATTTCCAACAGCAGACCAATATCAAAAGACTCAGCCCTTCCGAATCTCACCTCCTGTTCCCCTTAGACTGCAGTTACAGCCTGCTTTATTTTGCTTTGAAATGAGTAGTTAGTTAGCTTTTTTTAGTTAAATGAGAGGCTTGCAAGCATTCTGTTTGATGCAAGGAAATTTGTAGAGAATCAGGTTCTTCCTTATCAGGGTTTAAAGGAGATCTGGATTTTATGAATCCCTTGCCCCGTGTCCTTCTACACTCTAAGATGATGAACAAATTTATTAAATAAAATTGTTATAAATGGGTAGCAAAATAAGTCAAATTCACAATATAGGTAGATTGTAGTCTTTTTCTGTACATATGCTTTATAGGTTGTTAATAGCTCATCAATCCATGGGAACAAACTTGATACTCGGTCAGCTCATTATAGGAACGTTTTGTGCTGCGAAAGCCCTTGCTTCTCTGAACAGCCAGTGCGGGGAATCAGGTTGCCAACACGGGGACACAAGGCTGTCTTGTGTTTAATTCCTCAGCTTTAGTTCTGTGGTTAAAGCCAATTCACTTGTGATGGCCCTGCTTACATGCAGAGCATGGCTGTGCTCGATGAAGTGAGGGACCTGCGCTAGGCCAAGCTCGAGAATGTGTGTTAGTTAAATGAATGAAAAGAAACCATCATAAATCATGCCAGAGTTTTGTTTTGTCAATTATGAATTATTTTAGTCTTCTTTCTTGGTAAAGAGCTTCAGAATTATAAATAAAGTACAACTAAAACAGTCATTTAAATTTGTTATGGGTATAGAATTTCAAATAGTGACAACTTTCTTTTGCTCAAACCAAAGTTTCCCTGATTCTTCTCATTCCTGCCAGGGATGAACTATCCAATCGCTGTCAAGAATACTAAGGTAAGGACTCTGGAGCTGTTTTTCACTTTCATTTACTTGTAAAGTTGTATTGAGTGATTGCTATGTTTTTCTGTATTTGTTTCTGTGTGTGTACATGTTCAAGCATGTACAGATACATGTGTGCATCTGTATGTATGTGTATACTTGAGAGTCAGAACACAGCCTCAGTTTTGGTACCTTGGGAGCCAGCCACTGTATAGATTTTTAAAAATGTTTTTATTAGCATATATTAATTACATATAATAACAGGCTTCATTACTGTGTTTTCTGCACATATATGAAATATTTGGATCATATTCCCTGCTCTGTTATCCAGCTTCTTCTTTCCAGTTAGTCTGCCCTCTTTTATGTCTTTTGGGCATTAAAAAATATTTTATTGTGTGTATATGAGTGTTTTGCCTGCATGTGTGTCTGTGCACTGTGTATGTTCCTGATGCCCTCAGACCATAAGAGGGTATTGGGGTTACAGAAAATTGTGAGTCACCATTAGGAGGCTGAGAACTTAACCTAGGTCTTCTGTCAGAGGGACATGATAACGAGGATAAAGAAATAATTAGTGACATACAGACAAATGGTGTATTTCCTACGAGGTGTGAGAGGATATCCCAAGGGTTGGTTGGTTTGTGGTTTGGCTTGGTTTTTGTGTTTTGAGACAGGGGTCTCTCTTTGTAGTACTGCCTATCCTGGAGCTTGTTATGTGGACAGATCCTCCTGCCTCTGCCTTCTGAGTGCTAGAATTGAAGGCATGTGCCACCATGCCTGGCCCCAAGAGTCTTGACTTGCCGTTCTTTGATGATTCATGGTGTCAGGCACTTTTCTCATTACCTATTGGTGATTTATACATGTTTGAAAAGGGTGTCTCTTCAGGTCCTTCCTCCAGTCCCAGGTTAGCCAGGGCTATATATAGTAAGACTGTCCTTGCCCCGCCCCCCAAGTATCTTAATTAGCATAATCAACTATGAACTGGAATTCAGTGTGCTGTTTCCATACATGCTTATAGCTTGTTAATTAAACCCAACCTTTCTTTACCCTCCCCCTATATCTCAACTTCTGTTAATTCTCCATTCAGTTGAAGGGTTTTTTGTTTTGTTTTGTTTTTCAGATAAGCACTCACATAGACAAGTACTATGCCGCATCTTCTTTCTCATATACAGAAATTAACCATGCTCCTTCATTTTGTACCAGGGAGAGGAGGTTCACTGTCGATATGTGGTGACATGTGCAGGACTTCACTCAGACCGTATTTCCGAGTTGAGTGGCTGCAGTCCCGATCCTCAGATTGTCCCATTCCGGGGCGACTACCTGCTCTTAAAGCCAGAAAAGGGCTACCTTGTCAACGGGAATATTTATCCGGTGGGTAATGATACTTCTGTCTTCTTACTTACCAAGCTGGCTGTGGGCATAAAGGAAAGGAAAATAAAGCTTTTACTTGCATTTGAAGAGAGGGTTTGGAAGACGATGTATGTGGTCATTTCACCTGTCTCTGGTGGTGGCATCCCGAAAGCTGTCTCTGCTCTCGTGGGCATTGCATGTCTCTGTGAGCTTGAGTACGCCATGGGAGTACTGCAAGCAAACCAGGAGATACCCAACCCATAGCTGTGCACTTTGTGTAGGAGTCCACTCTAGCTCCAGGGGAATTTAAATAGAAAGCTCACTTTTCTGCCTGCATTCGCCCTGTTGATGAACAAGTCCCCAAAAGTATGTTAGGTTGAACTGGTTGGAATTGGTGCTTTGCCAAAAGCTAAATTCATCTCTTCTTCTCAATTCGCCGAGGCCTGTGCTGTGAATATGTAATTTTTTTTTTTCTGGTAGTCCTGTTTTACCTGCGGGTCACAGACTTCTCTCATAGGAGAAAGAGGCAATAATATGAAGTAGAACTGTTCAACCTTTTTCCCTTTACCCGGAAAGATGAATAAGCGGAACAACATATATTAACGCAGTAGCATTTTAAACCAGCAAGCATGTTAATCGAAAAGCCTGTCTGAATACAACTCACAGTGCATACAAATATCTAGAAGGAACTACCTCGTCTTACCAGTCAGATGTTTTGTATCTGCTTTGAAGTGAGATGTGAATGAGGCTAATAGTTGGCTGCTGTGTTGAATCTGCAGGTCCCGGATAGCCGCTTCCCTTTCCTTGGAGTTCACTTTACACCAAAGTTGGATGGCACTGTGTGGCTCGGGCCGAATGCAGTGCTTGCCTTTAAGCGGGAAGGTTACAGACCCTTTGACTTCAGTGCCAGAGATGTTATGGAAATAATTCTCAAGAGGTACCAGAGTTACCTTCAATATGATTTAAGTGCTTAATTTTTTTAATGTGAAAAGTTTTTGATATTCTGATAGAATAAGCCCTCACATGTGATTGCTGCATTAATTTTTTTTCATTAATCCAAATTAAGATCTTTATGTAATAAGCATACATTTGATTATTTGGTTTTGATGCTAAGGTCAAAACTAGAGCCTTGCGTATATACCAAACAGGTTTTTCTCCACTGGACTATACACCTAGCTCCAAGTATAATGTTTAACTATGTCACAAAGATTGTGATGAACCAGGGTGCTAATGTCTTAGCCAAAAAGAAAGTAAGGTCCAAAAGCCATTCATATATCTGGCAGTACATCTTAAATGTTGTTACGAGATCTGAAACTAGTAAGGACTTACTTTGAGAAGGTCATTTCAAGCTTTTCACCATTGTTTTGTAAACTATTAGATAAATTACTGATGAGATAGGGTGTGTGTGTGTGTGTCTATGTGTATAAATCTAAGGGTGCCATTGTATAGACTTATGACATATGACACAGATTCTTTACTGTTCTAAAATATAGCCTTATTAAGTATGCTGTTTGGCTTTTCCTGTGTGCATGCATGTGTGTGGGTATGCAATGACGTATATGTGGAAGCCATAGTTTGATGTCAGGTGTCTTCCTCAATCACTGTCTGCCTCATCTTTTTGAGACAGGGTCTCACACTCACCCAGAAGCTCACTTACTCAGTTAGGTTAGCTGGCCAGCAAGCCCCAGTGTTCTCCTCCCTCCCATTCCCCGGGGCTGCACTAAAGGCATGCACCACCCCGGCTGCTCTTCACATAGGTGTTGAGCACCCAGACTCAGGTCCTCATGTTTGTATGGCAAACACGTTACCAAACCTCAGTTTGGTCTCTTCAGTAATATTTCCCTTCAGGAGATTTTGTGTGAAACCCCTGGAAAGCATTCTGGACTGTATATAGGTGTTGCCCTCAGCAGCGTCTGTAGCAGAAAGGTTAGGTTAGCTTTTCAGGATGTGTGCAGAGTCTCACTGGAGGACCACTGCTATACTGCGGTGTCTCCACGTGACTACACTACACTAGGAGAGATGTCTCACTGCTTTAATGCCCTGTCCTAAAGATGCCTTGTTAGTGTCTTGAAAGTGTTAGAAAGCCTTAATGTTAGCAAACTTCATAGGCTACCAGTTTGAAACCATATTTTTTTTAATAAATTTTGAGTATGAGTGATTTCCTCTCCATATCTTGGCCAAAAGTTTCTTTATTGCATAATTTTTCTGATATTTTATAGATTTATATGATGCCACCAAAAAATAACTGTAAAGATATTTTATAGTAATAAAGAATTCCTCTGTCTCATCGAGTTTCTTTTTTTTTCCTTCATTCTCAGTGGTTTCCTTAAAATGTTGCTTCAGAATTTCTCGTTTGGAGCAAATGAAATGTATAAAGCCTGTTTTCTCAGTGAGACAGTGAAGCACCTTCAGAAGTTCATCCCTGAGATCACCACCAGCGATGTGCTTCGGTAAGGAAACGGGGCGAGGACGGTAAACTTGGGAGGCGGGTCTGGTTGGCGCGCTGGCTCTTCAGGCAGCACAGCCTCTGAACCTTTGCTCTCCTTCCCCAAGAGAGGTGATCCCTTTTGTGTTACTGCATCACAGCCTAGAGCTGGATCTTCGTAATTATCTACAACTCTTGTTGTTGTTGTTTTGAGACAGGGTCTCTCTATGTAGCTCTATGATGTGTGCCACCTCAACTGACTCTTAAAAACCCTTAGACACAAGCCGGGCGGTGGTAGCGCACGCCTTTAATCCCAGCACTGGGGAGGCAGAGGCAGGTGGATCTCTGTGAGTTTGAGACCAGCCTGGTCTACAGAGCTAGTTCCAGGACAGGCTCCAAAGCCACAGAGAAACCCTGTCTCAAAAAACAAAAAAAACAAAACAAAACAAAAAAAAAACCAACCAACCAAACAAACAAACAAAAAAAACCTTAGACACATACTTCTTGGTGTTCTTCTCTACTTAAAGATTGTTTTATTTTCATTGTGTGTGTGTGTGTGGAGGGGGTATATGCACGATCGCAGGTGCCAGAGACCAGAGGTCTTGGAGCTCATGGAGCTGGAGTTGCCCATAGTGGGTGCTGGGAATCAAACTCAGCCACGGAGTGACTTTTCCGGCCCCTCCACTCTGTGTTAGGTCCAGCTCTGCCTGAGGACAGAAGTGGGAAGTGGTGTGGTAACAATCCATTTAAGTCCTTGCTGCAGGCTGTCAGGAAAAGTTTGTTTTGTTGGTTTTTTTTTTTTTCCATTTTCTTTTTCTTAGAACTAAAGAGTTTCTGGACTTGGTGTGTAGATTACCCTGAATATCACCCAAGCCTGTGTGTTTTTCCTCTGTGGTGATATTTTTAGCATCATGTCAGTTGTTCAGTCTCGCCGGTGGTGTGCTTTGAGGTGCTCACGCTGTACCCCTCCATGACGCTCCAGAGCGCCGAATGTCTACCCTGAGCAGCTGTTGAAACGAGCCTGGTGTAAGGTGTCAGCGAGCTCCACTGTGTATCTGGAAAGAGTAACAATCTTGTCAGCTGTTCCCCTTGGGGGCAGGGAGACCTTGTTCGAAATCCATCTTTAATGTATCGTTCTGAGACCGTTCTTGGCTCTTTAGAAGAACTATTAAAACCCAGTTCACATTTTCTTTCTTATCTCTCCTTCTACACCTTCTGAAACAGATGATATAAACATATAGAGGCCTTATTTTTCTTGCACTCACTTACACACAGCGCCTTTTATGTTAAGTTTGTTGCTGCGATTCCTAATGTCTTAGATCTGAAAATGCATCGCTTAAATCGGTTTTCTATTACTGTCACTAATACTCTGTGGTCAGGTGGGCATCTGGGATTCTGTATCAAAACTGTGGCGGTGACTTCACTGCCCATATTCAGTGACCATCCTTTTATAGAAGCTGGAGCAAAGCCATGCATGGGTGCACATGGGGCAGTCAGCTCAATCACAGGTGAGTTCCCCTGCAGACAGAGATGCTGAATGCATTAACCATCCTATGTGTTCCTCCTCTTGGTTCTGGTTCCTCTAGCTATTAAACTCAGGAATTTACTAAACACAAGGAAGATGTATTTGATATCATTTACGCAAGTTGAAAAACAAGTGCAATGTTACATATTATTTATGGATCACCGTGAAAATAAAAAGGAATCTTAGAACTAATAAGTACCAGACTTAGGAGAGTGACTACTTCTAGAGAGGAAAGATCAGGATCTATGAACATCACATGGACCTCTGCCATTTCTCTGCTGATTCACTTCTGTACATGTGCCTGAAATGTTAATTAATAATAAGACCAGTAGTAATCTTCACAGCTCGAAGCCTCAGTCTCGCCTTGTCTTATGTGTCCCGCGACCGTAAATGTCCTATCAGCAGTGTGTCGTGAGCAGCGTCAGACAGTAGAACTGACAGAGCATACATTCATGAGGACCTGAGCTGCGTCCCCAGCACTGCAAAGGAACAAGCTAGTAGGAGCCACACTTAGTAGGTTGTGTTACTCTCAAATGGTGCCCTTAAATAGCAAGCAGTAGCTACCGAAAGACATTCGTCTTGATTCTTAGTGCTTAGCGAGGCATTGTGGGCAATAATTTGCTCTTAAGCATTAGGCGGGAATGTGAAGTCATTATTATGTTAGCTATAGCATAAGATGTGCGAATGTATCGTGAAGGGATCTGTCGCCAAGGCTCTTCATTAGCTCTAAGCTCCTTAAGATGCTTTCTGATGAATGCGGCACATACATGCCAGTGCTGCTGCAGTTTGCTGGCACCGTAAGAATGGGAAAAGATGACGTCGTATGTGCAGTGATTCCCCTTTCCCAGCATACCACTCTGTGAGATGTATTACTAAGGACTTCAAAAGGAAAGTTTTAGAATGAAAACTAGATTATATCATCATAAATTGAAGTGCAAGACACTTCTATATAACCTCGGTGCTGTTGACATTTTGCACTAGATAATTCTTTACTGTGAGACCTGGCTAGCACCCCACTCCTGGCATTTGTAACGCTCCAAACTGTCTCCGTATGTTACCAGTATCCTCTAGGGGGCAGAATTTCCTTGATTGAGAACCACTAGTCTAGAGAATTAGGTAACCCCACACTACAAAATTCAAAGAGAAAATAAAAGAAACATCTTTGAAATATACATAGCCAATATTGAGGGAAAGCAGGGGTATTCATATTCCCAAAACAGAAGAAATTGAAAACCCATTTACGAGAGGAGCTGGTGCTGATGCTGCCCTAGAACAGGAGGGGCAATTTTAAGTAAGCGAGAGGCTTGGGTTACCTGTCTTCTTTGCCTTTCTTATTCAGTTCATTCTTTTACAATTTCATACATGCGTAGAATGCGTTCTGATGACTTTTCTCCCTCGGCCTTCTTCTTCTCTTTTCCATTCCTATCAGTCCCTTTCCCCGGATTCATGGTTTCTGTTTTGTTTTGTGACTTGAATTAGATCTGCCTGTGAACTTTGTTTCGGAACACTTCATTGGAGCCTTGTGGGCACAGTAGTGGGCCCACAGCTGAGAGCAATGGCCCCTCTTCTCCCAGAATTCCAGGGACCGCTAATCTAGCAGAGGAGTAGGGCTCAACCGTTAAGTCCTTGTGCAGAGCCGGTGCAGGCGACCGCAGTTGCAGTGAGTCGTGATGCCGATGGCTGTGTTGGGCTCAAGAGGTGGCATTTCTCCCTGTCTTACATCCTTCCCTTTGAGCTAGGTTTTCAGTTGATGTATGATTCACAGGCGCATATTAAGTGCTCAGTGAAATTTGAAAGCTTTATTGTGTCCATCGCACAAAACAAGGTAACAGGGCATTAGGGATGTATATTTTAATCCCCCCCCCCCCAGGTAGTAGAAAGGGACTTTTGATAAATGTAAATAGAAAGTTAGAACCTAACGCATTCTTTTTATTTTATCTATTTATCCCTTTATTTATTTATTTATTTTGAGATAGGCCCTGTCTGCCCTGGAACCCTAAGTAGACCTTTGAATTCACAGAGATCCACTTGCTTCTGCCTCCCAAGTGCTGGGATTAAAAGCGTGCACCACCATGCCTGGCAAAACTGAGGATCTCTTAGTAAAAATGGAATCTAGAAAAATATCTCCCTTGGTACCAAAATGTATTAAGAAATTTTGTCTGTCTGGCCTAGGGAATTAGGGTGTGAGAATGAGAATTTAAAGTATAAGGACATAAACAGAGAAGCAAATTCACGAGTGGACCCAGACATGTTCGCTCCTGCTTGAATCTCAGTCTGCAGCCCCACCCCCACTCTCTTCCCTGTCCCTCTGTCTGTAAATAAGAAGAGTAGAAATCTGAAGCCAGTCTGGTTGATACAGACTGAATATTGGCAATACTAAGCACGTACTATTTTATTAACAAGTATAGTTTTATACACATTGATATCAAATGGTATGCCGTGAGGGGTGTGCCGTAAATTTGTTGGGAAAAAGGAATGTTGCTTTGGGGTACAGATAAAACGAGAATGGTTATGCTTGTATAATTGTTGAATCATTTATCGTACAAAATGTTAATGGTAATTCATACAAAGAAGTCTTTTTTTGTTTTTATGCATTTTTTAAAGTTCCCCTCGGAACACCTGGCAGAAACACATGCAAGACCTGCACAGGGGAGCTCACCTAGCCACACTCGGGCCCACAGGATCCCCCAGCTAAGGTCCTGCTGAGACTCATAACCAGGCGAGAGTCATTGGAGCAGATCTCAAATGTTCCAGCATAGAGGGCCGCCCTATGAGTGGAGCTGTAGGGTGCTTTCTGTCCACACCAAGCACAGGGGTCCATCCCTTGCGCCTGCTGGGGTGAGGAAAGTTGAGCACAGATAAAAACCATAGTTTCATAATCCAATTTTGTCCAAAATTAGTAAGGAAAATAGCTGCCCCTTCATGTCTGGAAATTGGATTGGAATTGTTTACCTTCTTCATAGCAGCACACCCAGGTTACATGTGTTCACGCGGTATTACAGATTTAGATTGGCAGTAGATCCCATGATGAGTTATCCTATGTAGGACTAGCCCAAGATGTCAGTTACAACTTTTCATAGCTTTTCCCCAGCCACAGTATGTCTGCCATGTGACAGTAATGCAGTACAGGAGATCTCGGATCTAAGAACGAAAGTATGGATTCAGCTGATACTGTTTCTGGACATATTGTAGTATCTAGCAGGTACCTTGCCATTATACTTAGCTATGAATAGCAAGCACTATATTAAATATAATTGAATTCATAGTTATTAGTTTGCTAAATCATTCTTTTAGTTCTTAAAAACATCATTAAAAGCCAGGTGGTGGTGGTGGTGCACGCCTTTAATTCCAGCAGTCTGGAAGCAGAGGCAGGTGGATGGATCTCTGTGAGTCCGAGGCCAGCCTGATCTACAGAGCTAGTTCCCAGAGGACAGGCTCCAAAGCTACAAAGAAACCCTGTCTCAAAAAGCAAACAAGCAAACAAAATTGTTAAAAGAACTAGAGGTTTAAAAATAAGTGTGTAGCCTTATTGAATGGATGCCTGCAATCTGCAACACACAGACCTAGCCTTGGAGGTGAGGTAGGTGTTAGACCAGACACCGTCTGCCCTCAAGGCACTTTGGCTTATCTTGCCTAAGGTTTCAAGTTGTACTACTTCCCTGAAGCTGAAGTCTTCTGAGAGGAAAGGCTCCGAGCCCTGCAGGCGAGAGCCTAGGGTTTCCTAAGGTGCTGAAATGAGGCCTGAAGAGTTTGGTGGCTTAGGCATTTCATGCTACTCGGAGCTGCGAACGCCAGTGTCTGACTGGCTCCTGAAGAGTTTGGTGGCTTAGGCATTTCACGCTAGTTTACGGAGGAGAGTAACTTTACACGGAACTGCGAACACCAGTGACTGACTGGCTCCTGAAGACACAGGACAGAACCCAAGGCCACTTTAACCAGTTTGCTAAGAAACTCAAGGAGTGCTGCTGTCGAGGGAGATAGGGACCCACACTGACATGCATCTGTGTGCTCAGTGGGTGCCATTCTTTTCGGGCTCCAAGTGTTGTAGCAGATGCTCCCCTGGAAATTCTCCCGACCCCAAGTCTTGATTCTCTAGGGCCAATCATCTACCTTTATCATACAGTTTCTCACTCTTGTGAGCAGTATAACTGAATTCTTCGGGGGAGGTACTTGATGTCTTCATGTTCTTTGAGGTGACGTACGTACGTGAGCAGCCTCTCAGCGTGGTTGGAAGGATAGATGAGATGATCCCCAGCATGTGATAAGCGCTTGGTAGATGGTGGCTAACGTTGGCTTTGTCCTTGTCCAGCAGGCTGAGTTCTAGAGGACAGTGTTATCCTTGTTGCTCTTGTGGCCTCAGGTTCTTTTCTGAGCTGAGAATCAATAAAAACTGCTCATGATTGCCTGGCTTCTTGTGTCTTGATTTTTTTTTTCTCACTTTGCTTTGAAAGTGAATGCTGTCAGAGGAGATGATTTGGATTCTAAATGTATTTAATTCAAACTTCATCTGTAAATTTTGACTGTTTTATAAAACATCAGAAATCTAAGTCTAAAAAACCTCCTCTGTTACAAAACAGAATCTTGGCTGGGGATAAACTGGGCGTGGTACATGCCTGTATTCCTAGCACTCAGGTGGTAGAGACTAGGATCAGCAAGTTCAAGGTCGAGAGTGTTCCTGCTCTCTGACTGACCATGACCATCCCTAGTTAGTCCCCAAGATGCCTGTGGACTTGAGTGGGTGCTGGAAGATGCTGGGCAATGAGAATTTCAGAGAATACCTGTATGGGCTCCGAGTCAACGTGGCGCTCTAGGAAACTGCCAGTTTACCAAAGCCAGACAAAGAGATCATGCAGGAAGGCAACCATACACAGGGCACTTTTCAGAACTACATCGCTAACTTCCAGGTTGGGAAGGAGTTTGAGGAGGATCTGCAGGCACAGATGACTCCAGGTGCATGACCGTCTAGTGAGCTGGGATGGGAACAAGCTTCAGTGTGTCCAGAAAGCTGAGGAGGGGCATGACTGACCCCAGTGGATGGAGGAAATGAGGGCACAGGGGTGTGGGCAAGGATGTACACTGAGCAAACCGAGCAGGTAAACATTGGTCTTGAGGAAGAAGTGTGCCCTGGGGCCTGTGGTCAGGATCCCTCTTCTGCCAGCTTGGGGTGGGAACAATTAGCTGTCCCAGGCCTCTGCCAGCGGGGTCCGTCTCTTCACCTCATCTTAAATGAAGCTACCCCAATACAAGTGAAATGTCTAACAGTGAGTTCAAGGAGGTTCAAGGTTATCCTTGGCCACACACGGAATTCAGGAAGAGTAGCCGGCCTATGGCTAGGGCTACATAATAAGACCTGTCTCAAACAAAACAAGACAGACAAAAAGCAGAACCTGATGAGCAGACTCACTATAATATTAACATGTTGCTGAATTAATTCATTTTTGTACTTGCCATTTCTTTTTAATTAATTGAAGGTTTTCTGAGTATTGAAGGTTAAACTATTAAGAAATGTTTAAAAATCCAGATTGGACTCTATTATATTTCTTTATAAGTTTTAATAATATTTTATCAAGACAAAATACAAAGGAATAGTAGACTAGATGGAATATGCAGCTGGAAGGAATCAGCTCCTGCTTCTGCCGCTTTATGAAAGGTCTGTGCTGCTGATACATTTCTATGATTGCCACTGATTGATTTCTAGAATAAATCTACTTTTAAATTTAAAAATCTATTCTGATTGAATGTGAATTTACCTGCTGCTTTAGGAAAGAGCAGATATTTATAAGTAATACAATTATTTGGATATTTATTTGAAAGTCTTTCTAAAAAATATTTATTTACTTGTATCTTATGTGTTCTGGTGTTTTGCCTGCATGTGTGTCTGTGTGAGGGGTTTGGATTCCCTGACAGGAGTTGCAGACAGTTGTGAGCATCCAGCCATTCGTGTGAATAAAGATTTTATCGCCTTAAGGATATTCTGGAAACCTGTAGACAGCCCTGTCTCTTTGGCTCAGATGATTAACACTTGGTTTTTTGCTTCTGCAGAGGCCCGGCTGGAGTTCGGGCCCAGGCCTTGGACAGAAATGGAAATCTGGTAGATGACTTCGTGTTTGATGGAGGAGCCGGGGAGATTGGAGATCGTGTTCTTCACGTGAGAAACGCGCCTTCTCCCGCCGCCACCTCTTCCCTGGCTATCTCGAGGATGATTGCAGAGGAAGCGCAGCAAAGATTTAAGTTATGAACGGCGGAAGGAGCTGTGTTTGCATCCTGATCCCTACACGAGCAGCAAGGAGCTGCAGTTGTGTTTTTGAATTAAATTAAGAAGATTATTTTAAAACTACACTTTTTAGGCTAAAATAGCCATCGACTTATTAACAGGATATAGGAAATCTAATTTTTAAAAATTCAGGTCCATATTCTTAAGAACAAAGAAGCAAAGAGCGTCTGTACCTGTTCTGAAGCCTCAAGTTTGTTAGGGATTTACCCAACCCTACGTGATTTAGGAAGGACTTGGGAAGGGGGCACAAAACCTGGACTATTCCATAATCAGTGTTTGGCTTTATAATTAATTTTTTTCCTGGAAAAAATATGTCGAAGTGTATTGTAGGGTGTGACATTCTTTTAATCTGAAGAGTCTGGAAAGCTTATATTATTTAGTGAGTTTTTTAAATCTGGAAACTGAAAATGCTTGATTTTAAAATTATTTTAAAAAAGAATACATGAAGCCGGGCGGTGGTGGCGCACGCCTTTAATCCCAGCACTCGGGAGGCAGAGGCAGGCGGATCTCTGTGAGTTCGAGACCAGCCTGGTCTACAAGAGCTAGTTCCAGGACAGGCTCCAAAACCACAGAGAAACCCTGTCTCGAAAAACCAAAAAAAAAAAAAAAAAGAATACATGAAATTTTATGTTTCTAAGTAGCATAAACAAACCCACCCCTCAGTCTCTCTGTAAGTCTCTAATGTCTGGTGTGGCATCACTTGGTCTGCAGAGCAGTGTGCCTGTGTGCTTGTGGCCTATGCTACAGTTCCCTGTGGCCGAGAAGCGCAAGTCCCTGAAAGGACCGTGTTTTATAAGAGCATTTTAACTCCTGACACTGAGTGTAGCACTGTGTAATTTTAACCAGTTATTTATTCCACACTTCTGTCCTTTGGTCACACTGAGGGTCCCAGGATGTTGGCCAGGATTACTGATGGTTCATACCTACGTGGGTTTTCAGAATTCCTATAAACTTTGCGAGGACATTTCTCCATTTTTGGTTAATATCTAACTTGGAGGCATTCACTTTTGTAAGCCGCAAAAGTGCCTTATATTCTTCATATGTACTTCATGAACATGTAAGTTGGTGCCAAGCGCTGTACTGAATACTCCTGTGTGTGTGTGTGTGTGTGTAGTGCCATACTGTACTGTATTGTGCGTGTGCATGTGTGTCTTACAGTTCAGAACATTGGAAAATAGAAATGTAAGTGAAAAACTGGCAACTTGGCCGTGGAATCGGAGCCGGCCCTTAGGTGAGAGGCTTCATTCCATCTCTCACATGTATTCTCTCAGGGTTCATCTTTAATCTTCCTCGCCAACGCTGTGACGGGGGCCTGAGAAGGCTGCGTGTATTGATAGGAAAGCCTTTCCTTTTTTATTTCCTCCCCACTCTGGCCCTTGATGGTTACATTCATTAAGCTATCTCATCCATTAATCTGAAAGGATACTTACTATGATCTTCAGTTCAAGAGGCAGCACATCCCAGGTAGGTAGATGAGGCAGTTATGCAAGACATGGGATGGGCATATTGAAACATTTAGAAATCATTTATGGAGGCAACAAACCCTAATGGTTCTCCATAACAATAGGTTTCCTACAAGAAATGCCCCGCATGGAGTGCTTCTCTGTTCTAAGACTTCCAAGGGTATAACATTACGTGAAGATGATTTTCCTTTTAGATGTGGTGAGAGAAGTGTGCCGTGGTTCTCTTCTCCATCAGCTGTGAGAGCTTGTGCACACATGCTAAGCTGTGCACAACTAAAGTTACAAAAATAACTGTCATGATTGAAGCATCCTTATTCCATCTGGGTATGCATTTATGCTCCAAAATAACAGAGACAATTTTGGTGAAATATGTCAGTTATTCTGTTTGTAAAATATTTGATATTTATGTCAATAGGATTTTTTTGTTAAATACTGATGTATAAGAATTTTGTGTCTTTCTAAGAAAAGAATGTATATTAGATGTATATTAGTATTAAAATATTTTAATGATCTTTGCTGTTATGATCATGTTTTATATTAAAACATTTACTGAGGAGCTGGCGTGATGGCTTAGTGGTTGAAGGCACTGACTGCTCTTCCAGAGGACCCTGGTTCAATACCCAGCACCCACATGGTGGCTCACAACTGTCTGTAACTCATGCATGTGGGTCCACAGACATATACAGGCAATACACCAATGCACATAATAAACAAATAAGTAAATTTAAAAGCTACTTTAAGAAGTTAGTTGCCAAGCAGTGGTGGCCTTTAATCCCAGCACTAGGGAGGCAAAGGCAAACAGATCTCTGTGAATCTGAGGTTAGCCTGGTCTACAGAGCAAGTTCCAGACAGCCAAGGCTACACAGAAATACTGTCTCCTCAAAAAAAAAAAAAAGAAAGAAAAAAAGAAAAAAGAAAAGAAAAAAGTTTATTGAACTGAACTGGATATGGTTGTTACATAACACTTTCTTCCAAAGATTGTAACATTCCATCCTACAGGGAAGTTGCTTATACAATTGCTTATGCAACAAGGTAAACAAACAACTCAAAATGGCTTAAGGAAGTCCCTGAAACTGATCAGATTTGCTCAGCCCCACCCTGCCACCCTAAACAATAAAAGCAGTCCATCTCCAATGGAAGAAAGCTGAGCAGCAACAAAGACTCTCAGGTGAGCCCAGCTGCCTGGAAGAGTTACTGTTAAGACCAACTGAGTTACTTGAAAGAGACTTCAATCTGTCAAGCTGTGTTCAGGCTGTGGAGTATGATCCAGGTTCCCAATGCTGCCACCCCTGCTGGGGTAAACCTCAGTGATATAGCTGTCTTTTAGTCAATTCTGTGCTTGTAAGCAACTCCTCACTCATATTTCTGTAAGTGACCCCAATAAAACTAATTGGTTCACCAGGTTGGACTTGGTAGACTCTGAACTTTGGTCTGTGGTGGGTTCCCTGTCTGGAGTGAGAAGACGTATGTGTTGCATCTCCCCAGGAGAAATGCTATCACACAACAACCCTATACTAGGTAAACGGTCGTAACTGTAGATAAACCCTTAAAACCCCTCCTGAAGCTAGGTCCAATAGCGCATGCCTGTGATAGTGCTCAGGAGGCTGAGGGAGGAGGGTCACAAGTTCAAGGCTAGCCTGGGCTGTGTAGTTGGAGTCCTGCCTCAAGACTGTAACAAAAGTGCTTCTGTATTTGTGAATAAGATATAGAAATTTGTATAAGTGAAGCATCTTATATTTTAGCTTCAGGGTGCTTAGTTTGCGGGGAGCTCTCATGTATATTTTTAGTGTTTCGTGTTATGTAACTTAGCTCTTTTATCCACACATTTATGTGTGGATCAGAGTCCTTCCCTTGATCCTCTTGGTTTTGCATTGTTGGAGTGGTGCCATCGCTGCTGGCATAGTTCCACTTTTCCTGAGGCCTTCTGGAGATCTGCCCACTAGCCTATGGGATAACCTCAACTCTTAGAACTTTCTTCAAAAGACAGTGGTTTATTTTGCCCAACCCTGGCATGTGGAAGTCTGTCGGGCCTTCAGTGGAGGCTGTCCAACCCTAATGACTGCGACCGTGAGCTCGTCCTTCACGTGTGGACCAGGTCGTACAGTGTGTGAGCTCGTCCTGCATGTGTGATCCCCGTAGTATGGTGTGTGAGCTCGTCCTGCATGTGTGATCCCCGTGGTATGGTGTCTGAGCTTGTCCTGCATGTGTAAACCAGGTGGTACGGTGTGTGCACGTTTGAAGGCTGACTTTGGCCTCTGGGGTCCTTCTCTGGTCAGATGTTTCCTCATCTTTCTGAGTATATGTATTATCTGTATGTAAACATTTTGGAGGAGCAATTGTGAAATCAGTTATTGGATTTTTAATTTTTTTTACTGTGTATGCATGTGTAAGTTCTTATGCCATGCCGTGCACATGGTGGTTGTAGACCTCTGTGGGGTCGGGTTGTTCCTTCCGTTTTCACATAGTGTCAGGCTTGGCGAGCTCTTTCACGCAGGGAGCCATCTCATTAAACTCCTTTAGTTTTTCTAATATAGAAGGTGAAAGGGAAAGAAAAAAGATGCCTAGGAATGTTTTCAAATGGTTTGTACCCACTGAAAGGGTAAAGAATGGAAACAAAGACCCAAATGTCTGAAAGGAAAAACAATGCTGATACCAACAGGCTCTCCTTCCTGCCTTCAAGTCTGCAAAAGGTCTTATTCTCTTTGGTGAGTGTTACCTTCTACTATAAACAGGCTCTCACATCAAAGTCACATGAAGGTACTTTTTGTGGTGCTGGAGAGATGGCTCAAAGGTTAAGAGCCCCGACTACTCTCCAGAGGTCCCGAGTTCAATTCCCAGCAACCACATGGTTAATGAATAAAACTGCTTTTGGCCAATGGCTTAACAGAGTAAAGCCAGGCAGGAAATCCAAAGAGAGATGTAGAGAGAGAGTAGACAGAGTCAGGGAGATGCCATATAGCTGCTACAGGAGACAGATGCCTCCGCCAGAGCCCACCAAAACTTGGCTGGTAAAGCCGGGCGGTGGTGGCGCACGCCTTTAATCCCAGCACTCGGGAGGCAGAGGCAGGCGGATCTCTGTGAGTTCGAGACCAGCCTGGTCTACAGAGCTAGTTCCAGGACAGGCTCCAAAGCCACAGCGAAACCCTGTCTCGAAAAACCAAAAAAAAAAAAAAAAAAAAAAAAAAAAACTTGGCTGGTAGCCCGTGACGTCGTGGTGATGCACAGATTAATGGATTAGTTTAGGATATAAGAGCTAGCTAGCAATATGCTTAAGCTCTTGGCCAAACAGTACTGCAAATAATATAGTTTCTGAGTGATTATTTAGGGTTTGGACAGCTGGGAACCAATGAGCAGCCTCTGCCAATAGACAAAAGACGAGTTCCTGGACAGCCAGGGCTGTGTAGAGAAACCCTGTCTCCATAAAGCAAACAAATAAGAGTGCTTACTGCTCTTGCAGAGGACTCTGGTTTGGATCCCAGCACCCAGATAGTGGCTCACAACCATCCTTAACTCCATTTCCGAGAAATTCAAAGTCCTCTTGACCTCGGTGGGCACCAGGCTAGCATGTGGTACACATACATATTCGAAGAAAAAAATACTCATAGTACAATAAAAATAAATCTTTAAAATATATAACATTATTTGACTTGCTATCATTTATTACAATACCATATTCCTAGTATTCTGTAAAATGGTGTGTGTGTGACTATAATAACACTGCATGGATAACCTTGCCCCTGAGTGATTTCACATACAAGCAAGTATGTCTCTGGGACATATTTCTGGAATTTGCTAGGTCAATAGTTGTGTACCTTTGGAACTTTGATAGGTGTCACGTAGCTTGTCCTTGATGGGAAACAGTGAGCTCCTGTTTCCTCACGTCTTCGCCATCATTATCACTAAGCTGTCTGAGCTAACAGGAGGACAATGGCGACAGTATAAGTTTGTATTTCTCCCAATATGAATGAAATTTAGTATTGGTGTTTAAGAAATACGCATTTCCTTTTTCTGTGAGATAGCTTTTCCATTGTTTTGGTTGGTTTATTTTTTCCATCATTTTTTTTCCCTTGGGGCTTAATCCTACTAGTTCATAGGATCACATCTATAGATTAGGGAAATCAACTCAGAAAGTGAATTGCTATGATTGTGTTTTTTTTTCCTAGTTTATTATTATTGTCTTATAGTTGGGCTTGTGGGATTTTTTTCTAGGCATTAAGAAATAGATCCATCACTCTAGATTTTTGTGTCATATAAAAGTTTTTTTTTCTTTATTTGCTTTTAGGTCATAACCCCTTTTTGTACATGTGAATCTTTGACATATTGCGATTCTTTTTTGGCTGTGTAGAGTGTGAGATAGGGATTCACCCGTTTTTGTTGTTGTTTGCTTTTAAATGGCCACTTATCTAGTTGAGAAACTTTCCCGGTGTCATTCTTGGATCCTCCACATCACGTGGATCACATTTCTGTTTGCCAAGCCCAGAGATCACAGGGCAGATGCCTGCGGAGACTCGGCAGGTTACATAAAAGGGGGAAGAGTGCCAGAGAGGGAGGCTAGCCAACTGGAAATGGGTGGCACACTTGGGGAAAGAGGACAGTCTCTCTGCCGCCTGTTGGCTGCTTCTTCGCACAGATGCAGTAGGCCACGGCGTTGCCAGATCTTTGTGGAAAGACGCTGGAGATACACTTTTAAAAAGTAAGCTGTTGAAAATGGTAATAGCAGTTTAAAAATTTTAATACTGGTTTGGCAAAAAAAAAAAAAAAAGCATCTCCAGGTCAGATTTGGCCCAGAGGAACCTTCCAATATCCTTTGCCAAGAATAAAACTTCCTACCAAAGACTTTCCTATGAGAAAATATAATCGCAGTCTGATAATTTGACAGCCTCGTGTTTCATAGCTGGGGTCTGGGAACTGTAGGGAAAATTAAGGACGCTCTATAAAACAGAGTGTATTTAGTACATGGGAATGTGGACATGGCCATTTATTAGAAGACCTTTAAAATTTTTATTATTATTGTGCGTGCGTGTGCGCGCATGAGGTGGGGGCGGGGAGGGGAGCATGCCACATTTGAGATGTTGAGGAGTGGGTTCCAAGAATGGAACTTGGGTGTCAGTCAGCCTTGGGCAGCCCGTGCCTTTACCTCGATAGCCCAGAGGGCATTTTTGACACAGTGGATACTTAAATTAAAAAAAAAAATCTACCTTTCTTTGTGTAGACAAAATGGTGTGTGTTTGGGAGAACACTGCTCAGCTACGGATTCTGGAACTGAGATTATGGCATAAGCTATCTTTACAGTCCGTTCTTCCGTTCCCTTCCTCGCTGCTGGTGGCTGGGTGCTTGCTTGACTGTTTGCCTCTTGGGAGCAATTTGTTCAGCAACTTTGGTGGGATGAAATTTGGGCTAAGGAAAAAGTTTCCTGAGTTCATGCCTCTTCGACTTAGAAAGGCTTAGGGTCAGAGACTCTTTTAGGGCGCTAATTAGTATGGCTGTATCGCAGGATCTGGGTTCCATAGAACCTG